TATTAGCTTACACCAATCTAGCTGTATTTATTTAGGTCTTGCATTAATTCATTCCTGTCTTCAAAGACAAAAATATACCTGGTGAAGGTTTAATACAAATAACCTCTCCTTTATGTATTTTTATGAAATGGGAAAAAGAAATTGAGTTGTGTGTAGTTTGTCAGGAATCCAAAAGTTGCCAATAACTGGTAGAAGTGTCGTGCCGTTGGGCATGCCCCCAACGGGCTGAGCGCAGGAGACCTCCCGCGCCTCTTGGGTACCAAGAGGTTCTTTTGACAGTTCTGTGAGGAGTGCCAAGGAGATGGGCAGGCAATGATTCACCTGGAAATAATCCTCATCGTTTACCCCTCCAAACCTTCTCAAATAACAACAGATGCCAGAAATTAGTGGAAAGTCAGTAACACAAATAACTCGGATGTTTCTAAGGAGCCTTCATTTCTAGATCTGTTTTTACCTCCTGCGTGATTCTGTGCATGGTGTTTTGTGAGTATCTGTGATGAGTAACGTCCAGATTAAAAGACAGCAAATATTCACTCCATTCAAACTTCAGGGAGCTTTTCACATTAGTCAAATAAACATTGCAACAGCATATGGATAGAAGTAATCTTAAGCTCTGAATTCCAATTTTTTGTAATAAGGTTGGTTTTTTTTTTTATTGCAATACTGTTGTATCAATTCCTTTAAAAAAAATTATCAGTAAGTTTAAAAATGTCTATATTTGCTAGTTTTCTTGTCTTTCTAGACCATTTATTGCTGACAAACTCTGAGGAATGGAAAACATGCATGAATATTCTTGGGTTTTGATACTATGCAAATAACGTCAGGTGTGGGAAGGCTTGTGACTCTCTTCTCATCCCACTCGGTGAAAAAATGAGAGTGCTGATTGCAGGTTCCCCAGCTTCATCTAGTTCATTCTACAACTTTGCACTAAAATATTTTTCATGAACATCTATTTTATACAGAAAAAAAAGCATAAGGTATTCTTGTATTTTTTTCAAAAGCGTTTTCAGCAGGGAACTATGAGGACTACTCTTTTCTGCCTTCCCGTGCTGCATCCTGAGGCAGGCTTGGGAGAAGCGCCAGGGGTGAGCTAGATGCGGAAGGGTTCCCGGGCAGCCTCCGGCTTTCCAGCTCCGAGCTGTCACGCCGCCAGCCCGGCGGTGCCCAGGCGCTGCTCTGCCTTCCTCTGCTCCACCCGCAGCAGCGGCACTTGATGAAAAAGTGCAATTACAGAAGCGTAAAATCATTTTAGAGATGATACCACTGGACTCATACTACAGGGAGTTTTGTCTTCTAAGTGTCTTTTTTTTTCTTTTTTTTTTTTTTTTTTGAGTCTTCTGAGAAATGATCCCAGTGTCATTTGTACGGTCACTCCGCCAGTAGCATTGGTGAGAGGAGTTTGGGGGTTTGTGTTCTTCTGATGGTTAATGCAGAAGTACTGGTGCATCTATAAAATTGGCAAAAATAGACATAAGCTTGTGGTTTTGTCTGGCCACTGATTACGGACATATTTTCATTTCAATAGTGTGCTTTCCTGATTCGGAATTTTTTTTTTTTTTTTTTTTAGGACAACCAGTCACCCAATGATAGGCAAAATTCTTACTATGGGATTGTTGGTCCCTGTTTCTTTAGGGGAAAAGCAGTGGGAGCAGATAAACTGATTCAAAACCTGCTAGGAGTTTACATTTTCCAAATGAAGTGAATTTTCCCATACATTTGGCTGCTCCGCCACTGCTCTGTTCCTTCGCCATAGTGGTGACTTATTTATAAAGCATCACCTGTCATCCTTTGGGGTAAAAGAGACAGATAATTTCGTTGATAAAAAGTTGATCATGTTGGAAACCTGGAAAGCAACATGAGAAAATAGAGTCCCTCAGATATAATAGTCCCTAAAATGGAAAAGAGTACAGAATGCAAACAAAGAAGCAGAGCCTGTGAGTGGAAAAAAGAAAAGAAAAATCCGCTCTCCGCATTGGAGAGGGTTCGCTCTGCTTCCCATGGTGGCCCTGGCCCTGCGCAGAGGGGCTGCGGTCCCCCTTGGAAAGTGTTTCAGTTGGAATTTTTCTCTCAGAGCTTTCACCTGTATTTCCACGTGAGTAAATTAGTTGCAAAATCTCAAGAATACAATTTTATTGTTTTTTAAGAATAGCTTATGGTTATGGACTCCTGGATTTCCAGATTCGGGACAGGAAAAATTTCATGTGAATTGCCCTTTGCCATTTTTCAATATAATTTGGCAATGTTAACATTTTATGAGTTGATACCCAGCAAAAGCACTGGAAAAATAAGAAAAATAACGACTGGCAGTAAATCATTTTAGACCTTCCCTCTAATTGTTGGTTCTCATGGAAAAGTCTTGTTTTCTTACTATACGTATGATTTTATCTGTGTGTATATATGTATACACACACTATTTTTCAGTGCGATACTGATGCTCTACGTGGTGAATAAACACGCTTTTTACTTTTCCCCAGCAATACTGCTCTTTTCAACCTGTTCAAAACCAGCATTTTCTGTGATGTCTCATGTTCCGTGCAGTAGGTTGAACTGTTTCAAGGAGACAAAAAATAAACTTGGGTGACACCAAGCTGAGGCAGCTGGCTGCGTGCACAGCACAGAGTGCTCTCGGCATCCCCGCGTGCTAAAAAAATGAACGGATTAACTCCAGGAGGATCTCTCATGTCCAGGTCCGCCGGCTTCTGTTGGTCCGGGCTTCTAATGAGCTTTGTGTGAATCCATTCTCATTTATGAAAAGGCATTTTTTTTTTTTCTTTAATATCTACTTATACTCTTCTCTTTGCTCATTTAATTACGCAGACTCTGACTGATGTGGGTCAGAGTAGGAGCTGTTTCAATGGTAAAAGATTAACGGCGTGGCAGTGTCTCTACACACTGCAAAAATGAAAGCGGCAGCATTAATATTTTTGTGTCAGAAATGTATAAACACAATGGCAATGGTATCTTGTACAAAAATATGTATTTCCCTGTTTTGCTGTCAGTGGCAGGCAGCACACAAGGTGCTTCTATAATTAACTGCTGACTTTTGCGAGGCCTTGGTCAAACCCAACGAAATTTTGTCTTAAAAAAGCTCTTTATAGATGCTGATAGTTTGGGAATGTATCTGACAAGTAGTGTGTACTTTACCCTGTATAATTCTCTCCCCGCTTTTTTGGTTTTTTGTGGTTGTAGTCTGAGATAATGAGCAGCTTTCCTTTTCCCTTTATTGAAAATATGGGACTCCGTGATGTAGCAGGATTTCACGAGCTAAGGCGCGAGGTGGGGGATCGCCGGCAGGAAATCCCACTCTGGGATTATCCGGCATCACGGTAGTTGCTGGAAATGACTGAAGTAGGCATGTAGGAACAGTTGCAAAAAGTCAGTGAATTCTGATGTCACAAATGATGTATTTAAGAACAGGAATCACAGATTTGGCTTCTTGGAAGATGTATCAGAGAGCTGTGAAGATGGAGAGGTTGGGCTCTCGTCGTAGCTGTTCACCTTCAGAGAGGCAGTCAGCTCACCAAGCACGCTCCTGCATTTTGAGGGAAAATCTTGGGTTTTCTTGCACTTCTAGATTGGTTGCAATGTTCTATTGTACTTTTTTTTTTTCCCATGTAGTTTATGATGCTGCCTTTTTTGTAGAGGCAACTTTGATTTCAGGTCATTCTTACGTATTCCTGAAAGCCAGCTCTCCTTGTTTGTGAGCGTATTTAGATTTGTTCATTAGGATGAGAATCAGATTAAGGCACGTGCCATTACATCAGGTTTTAGGGCTTCAAATCTTGAAGTTATAACTATGCTTAGGAATTTAAAAAAAAAAAAAAAAAGAGAAGGAGAAGAAATATCTTTGCTATATCACTGTTTAAGAAGGTTGCGAAGGTTGAATTCTTTGTTATATTCTCTGAGACAAAATGGTCTAAGGGATTTGAAGTATGCTTTTAAAATTAGTTTGCACCCGTAAGCGAACAAGCAGATTTAGTCGCAGATGGTAAGAATGTTTGTTCCGTTCTCAGCAGCCTGTATTTTTGGAGGGCGCCTGCTTGTAACCCGTGTGCAGCCGAGAGCTTGGCTCCTGGGCTGCGAGGGCAACCGGCCGGCCGGCCTGCAGAGCCCTGGGTGCGAGACCCCGCTCGCTCCGAGGACTGAAGGCCAATTAATCCAAAGCGTTACGTTGTCTGCTGGGAGGAAATTTGTCGCTTTGTCATTTACGTGAGACTGCAGAAGGGGTGATATTTAACAGTGCTTTTATCTTTGCTCGGTATTTTCTTTGGGAATTTTTTTTCCAAGTGGAAAAAAATAAAAAGAGGGATAACTAAACTAACTGTACAGATGAAAAGATCTGAGAGATATACTGGAAAAAAGGCAGTGACTGAAACTGATAGGTGATGTGTTCTGCAAGATAACATTTAGCTAAGGGAGTCTAAGACAAAATATATAGTAGCATTCGGTCGGTGTCACTGTTACATGAAGTAGCATTCGCAGGGTATTTTCAGGTCTGCCTGCCCGCATGCTTTTGCTCTCAGCGTTATGTACAAATCGTATGATTTAAAGCACTTTGTATTTACTTTTAGTTGAATTTGATGGTTCCTGGTAGGATATTAAAAATAATAATAATAAAAAAAAGCCTCTTGCTGCAAAGGCAGTGTCTGCGCGTGTACAAATAGAACTCGGGAGGCTGTGCGGAGCTGCGGTGTTCCGCGGGGCAGCAGCGTTCCAACCTCTGCAAGAAAAGCGAGTTGTTATTCTTAAGAAAATACAAACAACTGGCTTGTATGGCTTGGAAGCAGTGAGAAATCCATTCAAATATTCCAAATCCTAAACCTCTGCCTTTCCCAGCTGGCCGTTTTGCCTTGTTCAGAGCTAGGCGGTGCTGGGACGTACCGCCGGGTGGAGGTGGGGGCGCGGAGCTACGTGTCTGAGATGCAGAGAAAACACAATATGTATGAAAGGGAATCGTTTCAGTATAAATACAGACATGAAACCCACGTTTTTGTTTTCAGATTTAACAAATCAAGTAGAGACAATCGGACTGAAGCTGCAGAAAGTAACGGCCGAGATGGACCACTACAAAAAGCTGTTAATGTAAGATTTCTCTTTGCCTGGTTGTTTTGCCACTCTGCATAAAGCTGTAACAAAAGACTTTTTTGTCAGAGAGCGCTGCTTGTCAGGGGGGGTTGAGAAAGTTATGACCAACAGAGAAAATATTTTATCTTCATATTAAATGGCCTGTATTTCTAAGCACTGTCTGAGCACGTCTGCCAGTGGAACCGGGCTTTCTTCCTCCCACTGTGCGTAATGATACAGCGAAGAGGAGGGTTAAGTCGGCACAGTCCCACACTTTCATTTTGTGAAATCCACGTAACTTCTGGACTAAAAATGTATGTGGAAAATAATATTTCACATTGTAGGTTTGGGATGGAGGGAAGGGTGCCATGAAATGTATCAGAAACTGTGATTTCTTTTTTTTTTTTACCCTCCCCAAAAATGTAAATTTGCCGTGACTTTTCCCCTCGCGCCAGGAGGTTATTGCAGTGTGTAATACTACGGTGTTGTGCCTACCGTTGCAAGTACGGGTATGCAAAACCTAAACGAATAGAGCAAGAAGAGAATGTCATCCGATGCTTGTGGGGAGCTAATTGCAGGGCGATGGCAGAGCGGAAACGAGTCCTCTCTCAAAGCTTGAGGACGCACCTCCTCTTAAACCTTGTTGGGCTTTCGGGCTGCTCTCCTGGGTTACTCTTCCGGTGGCCGAGCAACGGCCGTGCAGCCGGGTCTGCCCCGTGGCGAGGTGCCTGGGACCGGCGTCGGGCACCCCAAATCCGGCCAGGAGACCTCTGGTGCTCGGTGGGACCTGTGTTGTCACCTCCAAAAGCTGCGGGGTCTGGGATCCAAATGCTTTCCTGTGTTTAAAGCCCACGTTGCTCCCGTATAGCGTGGAAAATCCTTCAGAAACAGCATCAGCCTTTATCATTCACTGATGAAAATAAACACGACTGTTTCAGATAGGAAGCTGCAGAGTAATGAGCGAGCGCTGCCCGTCTCCAGAGCAGCTATCAGCCCTTTGTTTGTATGTTTTCCTGAAATTTAAACAAGGATTCATTCTTTTAGGATGTGTACTTTCTGGTTTCGGTTCCTATATTCGGAGGGTCTGATCATAACAAAGTTGCAAATATTTGCAACGCTTAGCAACAGAGTATTTTAATGATAATACAAGTTTTGAGTATGAAAAAAAGATTTCATGAACACAGTTAAAGAAGCAGTAAAGGGTTTCCAAATGTAATATTAAAATTTCGATGTAATTGGGGTACAAGTTAATAAAATAACATATTCTATATCTGTTTAAATGTAAATATGAAGTTTAACCATGGTTATTAATTGGTGAAGTGATGACATGATGACAAGAAACCTGCAACGTTTCCGGCCCTCTTACCTACCAAATTGTCATTTGTTCATTTTTATTCATATCTTACTTGAAACTTTCATGTGTTGCAAGATTTCATTTTCCTGTTCCCAACATTAAACTTCTTGCAATCCTAGGTTAGGCTGAGATGACATTGGAAGTGTAACTTCCAATTACTTTAAAGTGTTAGCTCGAACTTACAGAACTTTGTGTTGTCTGCCTTTTAACTAAAATAGAAGATGTAAGTTAGATAATATGTCAATAATCCTCATGTTCAGGTTACTGCATGAGTAAAGGCTATTATTTCTTTGGACAAATACACATTTTTAAAATGTTCTCTTAGGGTGAAATCGACGGAATTTGATGCCTGTCAAAATGAGCTGAAAAAAATGAAATATGAAAATGGAATTTCTGAGTCAAGGTAAACGGGAAATTGTGTCATAAGATAACATACAGATTTCTGAGCAGTGAGAACAAAAAAATTATCTTATTATTTTAGTGCAGCTTTTAGGATTCTTCCTGCTTTCAGTTTCTGTTTTTGTATTCACGTCACTGGATTTAACTTCATAAAGAATATACAGCTTTTTGTCGAATATTTTATTTTCCAGGTACAGTCGTTTTCTGTCTGTTTAGTAGCTGTCTGTAAATATGAATAGAGTAAGTAGAATGCTGATAGCTTTTCATTTCATCTGTAGACTTACGAAGGAGCTGAAGGAAAAGGAGGAATCTCTTCTGATTTGCCAACAAGTATGCAAACGTTTACAGGAGGAGATGGCTGAGAAGGAAAGGAAAGAAGAAGATCTAAAAAGAAGAACCGGTCGATCAGAAAGTGAACTGGAAGCGCTTAAAGCTCTTCTTAAACAAACAGAGGAGGAGGTGGTGATGTTGAAACAAGAAAGGTAATCGGGGCTGAGTCACCGCGGGTCATCTCCTGTGGCTCTGCCTTCAGCCTCCCCTGTCTTTGGGGAAATCCGTTAAAAATTCCTCCTCTGCCGATCCTCAGCCCCTCTCGCTGTTACCGAAAGGGCAGATGGATTCGGTAACGCACCAGAGGTGATCTGTGCCCGTCGGGGTGCGGGAGGAGAGGCGGCAGAAGGAGGAGTGCGGCCGTGGTACTGGGCAGACTGGGAGAGACCTGCTGGTCCCAGCTGTGTGTTCTGAAGCGCCTGTGCGCTCGGGACAGTCCTGCCCTGCCGCTGCCCCCTCTCATCGACAGCTTTATGGCACAACTCTAAACGCCTTGGCAGCCCTGAGCTCCTATCCTGAAGTTTTGGATCCTCATTGGATGGATTTTTTTTTTTTAAATTATTACAGTATAGACAAAACTTGAATGAAAAAAGAAAAAAAAAGAAAAAAGTCTATTTAAAAAAAAAGAGGAAAAAACCTCCTTGCTTTGCAGTCCAGAGCTTCAGTTCAAGCTTAATCAAAACACCCTTTTATTGCCATTGTTGTAGCTGCTATTTGTTACGTGAGGGTTGTGGAGCGAGAGCCCTGGAGAGTTTAAATTCTTGTAATTTATGGTGTTGGTGACTTGCAAACCGTAAGAATGCTGTAAATATTGCAGTGTGCCGGGGTATCGGGTATGGGCTGGTATTTGGTGAGGTGTACGGACAACTTCCCACCGGTCTAGTCCTATTTTGAAGGTTCTCAAATATTAACGAAGCTGCCATTTTCCCTGTAATTTCTTTTCAGATGTGTAAAAATAAAGCACTGAGCTTCTGAGGATTGCATTTTCTGGAACGGTATCCAGTTTGAGAGTCTTTGTTTTAGACTTCTGCACTTACCAACCTAAATTCACATTTTTTTTAATTGCTTTGAGTGTAATCTGCATATCCAGTTTTATTCCTAACAACCACAGGCTTGCTTTTACTGTCGAGGTGTCCTGCTAGTAAATTTTCAGTTACTGACAAATTAGCTTGTCTTTTACGGGCAACAAGGAAAGTGCTGTCCCCTACTTAGGAGATGGCAGTACGTTATTGGTTTGATTTGCGTACAACGGAAAATCTATTCAGAAACATGGCTTTTGGAGAAGATAAGCATTTTCTGAGGGTGATGTACACCAAGAGGCATTAAGCTATTTTCATATTTAAAGGGTTTGAACATTCCCTGCACTTTAGTGCCTGCATGAAAAGATATTACATGTTAATTTAAGAATATTTCCTTCTACTTAAACCCCAGATACATGAGTTGTTCCAGGTGGTACATTGCTAATAATCTAAGTTACATGAATTTAAACTCTCCAGGGCTTTTGGTCTAGAAGCCTCACATAACAAACAGGAACTCTAACAATGGAAAGCACTCGGTGGTTTTAATTCAAAACCTATTACAATTTTTTAATTAATGATAGTAATATTCTGAGTTCATTAAAAACAACAATTTGTGGTTTGACTATTAGAGCAGTTCTTCAGCGTCGTCCAACATTTCACTTGAGAAATATTATAAATATGTGAGGTTTAAATATGCGTGCGTGGAAGAAAGATCAACACTAGTATTTTCCTTAAAACATAAAACTCATAAAGCATGTGATGGCATTATGCAAATGCTGAGTAGTGATTACTGCTGTGCCTCTGGGCTCCGGGCAGGATTGCTGGGCTTATTGCACAGAATACCAAACAAAGAGGAAAAGATGAGCTTTTGCCACAAAGGACTTAATTGCAAGAAAATGGCATACCACCAATCTGGGCAGAGCACATATTTACATACGAGTTTTTGTGGTTTCTAGGGAGTTAATGCTGATTTCTCATCAGAACAGAACAGAGCAGCTGCAGGAAACATTAAGACAGAAGATGCGGAATGAAGATAACTGGAGGGAGAAGGTAACGCTGGATGTGCAGTTGGCATCCTTTCCAGTTCTTTATTATTTTTTTTCCACAGTTGTAGTCAGCTGTCACGAATGAGCACAGTAAGGCAGATACCTATCTCCTCAAGCGCAAACATGTCAATAGTATTCTTTGTATAAGAGGTTTTAATGGGTGATCTCTCTACACGGGCTGGAACCGAATGCAGCAGGTATTTAGTAGGAACGTTTGCAGACTTGGCAGATGTTCAGGTCTGATCCGGACTTCCCAGGTCCCAGGGTATTTGCGAAGTGCCTGCGCTAGGAGTGCGGTCCCCTGCGAGCCAGGGTGCGAGGAGCAGGGCTGAGCCCGCTCAACCTCGGACCGTGCAAGCTCCTCGCTCTCCCCGTGTGCTCTGCCGGAGGGGGTGCAGCAGGAAAAGCCCAGTTGTCCAACGCAGGCTCCAAGGAGGCGAACATCCAGAGCCCACCCCGTTCTGTGTGCGACAGGCCGGGTTATAAACCCTGAACCCCAGAACCACAATTCTGCACGGGGGAGCGCGTCAGTGCCTGGGTTTGTTTCCTGACACAGGAAAGCATATATTTAATATTGAAGTAGTTTCCCTGGTGAAAACAGGGTTGGGCATTGTTCACGAGATGCAGAGAACACAGAGCCGTGCTGCTTGTGGGTTAGGTGAACTGAAACTGAAGATTGCTATTTGTAAAACAAATCTAGGAAATAAATAATAAGCAGATGAGCAAAGATGTCCTTTCCTTAGAAGACAGGTATTTGCAAACCAAAGCAGAGCTAAACAAACAAGCTGTTGTAGCATAGCGGTTCTGGAGCTATCAGGAGTTGTCGGCTAGCAGAAGGCAGCAGAGTTGTTAGCTGTACGGCTGACGAGGAGGGCCAGAGGTGTGTGGCTGTCCTGCCTGGTACTCGGGGCAGCTCTGGGTGCAGGATGTGTGTTCGTGCCATCCCTGGGATGACTCTGTCACTCACGGCAATGGGCAAGTGAAGTAACATGACGGTTTTATAGAACCATAGAATGGTTTGGGTTGGAAGGGACCTTGATGACCACCCAGTGCCACCCCCTGCCCTGGGCAGGGCCACCTCCCCCCAGCCCAGGTTGCTCCAAGCCCCGTCCAACCTGGCCTTGAACACCTCCAGGGATGGGGCAGCCACAGCTTCTCGGGGCAACCTGCCCCAGGGGATCACCACC